ATGGTCGTTGGTGATGGTTCACTTGTCTTTCACTTGTTCGATTGGATCCTGCACGTGAATCGCTACTTGTATCTCGTCACTGCACGCACGGAATGCGATTGCTCACGGGCTGCAGATGTGTCCACGTACTGCTATACACAATGCACTCGTAGAACTAATATTGGCGCAGATGGCATATGATAACATGCAAAAGCGACGCAGACCCACATAATTGCGGACGGCAGAAAAGTTGACGACCTGCTGCACCCATCTTTTTCGTTGCGCGAGTTCCTGCATACGAGACATCAATGGACACGCACGTGGCGCGTGCGGAGAGGCAGCACAGAAAACGCCGATCCAAGCTCACAGGTCCTACCCAAGATGCGTCTTCTCGAACTTATCAAAAATGATGACGTCGTATTGAAACGTGCAAGTGCAAACAACGGTGTTCTGCGCAATGCGGCGCGTGGACCTCATTTGTGCTTGCTGAAGCTTCACCAGAAAATCCAAATACATGCACAGAAGTTCCCCTTTTTAGAAGCCAAAGACGCCCTCCAGGGCAGCTTAGGCGTTTGCAATCACCCTCCAAAGCGCGCAGCCACGCCAACCGAAATGTTCATTGCTAACGCACCCGGAACGCACCCGCAAGGCACCCGCAAGGCACCAGAAAACCACCCCGAACTCGTCGTGCCCGAAATTTTGAACAAGCACAACTCGTCAAACATTGATGACGCCGTACTGAAACGTGCAAGTGCAAACATCGGTGTTCTGCGCTATGCGGCGCGTGGACCTCATATTTGCTTGCTGGAGCGTTACCAGAAAATCAAATCAAAACAAAAAACATAACCTCCGCCTTTTGATAAGCCAACAGCGCCCTCCAAGGCAGCTTAGGCGTTTGCAATCACACTCCAAAGCGCGCAGCCACACCAACCGAAATGTTCATTGCTAACGCACCCGGAACGCACCCGCAAGGCACCCGCACGGCACCCCGAATTCGTCGTGCCCGAAATTTTGAAGAAGCACAACTCATCAACAAATGATGACGTCGTATTGAAACGTGCAAGCGAAACAACGGTGTTCTGCGCTATGCGGCGCGTGGACCTCATTTTTTGCCTGCTGGAACTTCACCAGACAATCAAAACACACATAAGAATTTCCGCTTTTCATAAGCCAACAGCGCCCTCCAGGGCAGCTTAGGCGCTTGCAATCACCCTCCAAAGCGCGCAGCCACACCAACCGAAGAAATGTGCATTGCTAACGCATCCGGAACGCACCCGCAAGGCACCCGCACGGCACCCGAAAACCATACCGAATTGTCGTGCCCGAAATTTTGAAGAAACACAACTCATCAACAAGTGATGACGTCGTACTGAAACGTGCAAGTGCAACAACGGTGTTCGGCGCTATGCGGCGCGTGGACCTCATTTTTGCCTGTTGGAACTTCAGCAGAAAATCAAAACATTGCACATATCTTCCCCCTTTTATAAGAAAAAAACGCTCTCCAGGGCAGCTTAGGCGTTTGCAATCACCCTCCAAAGCCCGCTTCTAACTTCAATGGGATTCTTCTTATGGTCGAATTCAATAAAATTCATTTTGGGGAAGAGTGCAACATAATTCTTCTGTAGCCGATTTCAATAGGATTACTCTTGTAGCCGATACCAATCGGATTCCTTATGTAACCGATTTTAATACGATTCCTTTCGTGTTCGATTTCAACCGGATCCCTTGTGTAGCCGATTTCAATAGGATTCTCTTTTGCAATCTAACAAGCGACCCAACAACAACAAAGCGAAAACCAACTAAAAACAACCACGCAGACAAAACAAAAACCAATGGTTTTCAATTGTTTTCAATTTGTAGTTCCATGGCTGAAATCAATGGGAAAGTAATGTTTTCTTTGATGACTGAAAGAAAACATTGAAAACCTATTGGTATTCAAAGGTCTTGCATGGAACTCAATGAAAACCAATGGCTTTCCAATATTTTCATTCAGACACAAAAGAAAACATGTGTTTTTTTTTTCATTGATTTCAGCATGAACGGCATGAAAACCAATGGTTTTTCAATGTTTCAATCAGAAACCAAAGAAAACCAATGCTTTTCATTGATTTCATTTTGAAGAATAAGGAACTTCAGTTGGTTTTCGATGTTTTCAATTGAAAACTAGTGCAAAACCATTGGTTTCGTTGGTTTTTCTGCACTGGTTGTTAATGTTGTTGGTTTTCGCTTTGCTTTTGTTGGATTTCGTGTTTGTGTTGGTTTCTCTGGTTTCTCACCCTCCTCCGTTGCTAACAGGGCAACCGCAAGCCCAGGGGCAAAAGCAGAAAACCAGCAAAAACAGGAAATCCAACAAACACAAAGCGAAAACAAACAAAATTGATGACCAAGGCAGAAACAACCAACAAAACCTTTGAAAGCCAATTGTTCTTTCAATGTGTTCATTTAGAAACCAAAGAAAACCAATGTATTTCATTGATTTCAGCCTGAAAAATATTGAACACCAATGGTCTTTCAATGTTTTGAACTGAAAACTAGTGCAAGATCATTGGTTTCGTTGGTTCTTTTGCCTTTGTTATTAGTTTTGTTGGTTTTCCCTTTGTTTCTGATGGATGTCATGTTTGTGTTGGTTTTTCTTGTTCCTCACCCTCCTCCGGTGCTAACAGGGCAACCGCAAGCCCAGGGGCTAAAGCAGAAAACCAGCAAAAACAGGAAATCCAACAAACACAAAGCGAAAACAAACAAAATTGATGACCAAGGCAGAAACAACCAACAAAACCTTTGAAAGCCAATTGTTCTTTCAATGTGTTCATTCAGACGCCAAAGAAAACCAATGTATTTCATTGATTTCAGCCTGAAAAATATTGGACACCAATGGTTTTCCAATGTTTTCAATTGAAAACTAGTGAGAACCATTGGTTTTGTTGGTTTTCTGTCTTGGTTATTACGTTTGTTGATTGTCGCTTTGTTTTTGTTGGATTTCGTGTTTTTGTTGGTTGTCTGTTTCCTTGCCCTTTCACTAAGGCCAAAGCAGCTTTAAAAGAAATCCGATTGGGATCCCTTCAAAAGAATATCATTGGAATCCTCCTCAACAGGATTTCCACGTCCAACGCGCCTTTAAATAGCGAAACCATTGAAAGCAATCACATCAACGTTTTCAAAACAAGATTTTCAGAAACATGAGTCGGTGGGGTACTGGGGGGTGCTACCACATGTATATATATATATATATATATGTATGTATGTATGTATGTATGTATGTATAGATAGATATAGAGAGAGAGAGGAAAAAAACACACCACAAACAACCACAAGGGATACATACATATATAGAGAGAGAGAGAGAGAGACAAACAAACAAACACGAGCGAGAGAGAGAGAGAGATAGAGAGAAACAAAGAGAAGGATACTATGAAGGTAGGGGGAGCTATCTATACAGAGAACGAGAAAGAGAGAGAGAGAGAGAGAACGGGAGAGAGAGGGGGAGAGAGAGGGCGCGAGGGATCAAGAGAGTCGGCAGGCAGAAGGAAGAAGGAAAAGGCCAAGCCCCCCCCCCTCTTCCCCCTCTGTTCCGTTCCGCGACTCCCAGGCCCTGCCCCCCATCCCCCATTGAACCCGCCATCTGGCTGCCCAAGTCGTTTGGCCACCGCGAGTCTCAGCGGGAGGTTGGCGCACGAGCCTATGTGTGTGTGGTGAGATCGTCACCCGCTACTTGCGTTTGGCGTTTCGTGCTGCGCGCCGATTCGCCCTGCGATGCCCCCGACCTGCAACATCTTGTGGCCACTCTTGTTCTCGATTGTTCCTTGTTTTTGCACTCACGATGGTACCGCCACCTGGTCGGAGGAGGAACAAGTGTGCGGGAAGATGGGTGTTGTCTGGCCGCAGGGCTCAATGCCTCCCGCATGGGGTCCGAATAGGTGGGGTCGCAGGATCGCGCCGCATCGCCGGTGCATCGGCGATGCGGCTCGACATGGGGTCCGCATTCTTCCGCGCAGACGGCGCCGATGCATCGCCGACGTCGCCGATGCATCGCTGATGCGTCGGCGATGCATCCACGATGCGGCGCCATCCTCCGACCCCATCTACTCGGACTCAATCTGGGGCCGCTTCCAAGGGCTGCGCGCACGTGGTTCTCCTGAGTGGACACCTGCTCTCTGCACCGCATACTCATTGCTCTGTTGGGATATGCTCCTCACCAACGCTGTTCCAATGCATTAATGCGGGTCGGCTTTCCCATCCTCAAGACAGGGTGCACTTCGTATGCTCGCTGCCCGTGCATGTCTTGTCGCGCGTGTGGAAATACAGATGCGGTCGATCTCGGCTGTTCCGCGGCTGCCTAAGCCCTCTTTGTCTGCGCAGCCACCACGGCGGCCGATCTACTCTGAGCATGGCCCGTCTTCGTCGATCTCGCCCCGCCGACTGCAACCCGTCGGCGCTGGCAGCAAAAGCGGGCCCCGGAAAAGGTGAGCGCGGCGCCCTCGGCACCCCGCCCTGGCCGGCAGGCGGGCGGCAGTCCGCCCTCCAGCGGGTGCGGCGCCGGGAGGAGGTCGAGCCGTGTGGGCACCCCCCGCTCCTGGCCGAGCTCGCCGGGCCTCTCCGTCTCCGCTGGCGCTCCTGCCTCTGGCCCTGGTCCCGCTTGCGCGGTTCTCCCTCGCTCCGGGGGGCCTGCCGCTCTTTCCGCTGCCTCCGCGCCAGCTCGCTGCCCTCCTCTGCCGCGCGCCCGGCCGCCCCCCTCTGCCCCGAGCCCGTCCTTGCCGACGCGCCCGCCTGCGGCCGTCGCCGCCCCCGCCCGCCCCCGAGAGCTCCATGAGGCCCAGACCCCGCCGCGTCGAGGAAACACTATCACCACGGAAGGCTTTTGCCGCAGTTGTCGGCCCCTGGGCTCTCTTATTGGGCCCCGCGGCCCAGCAACTACCCAGGATGAAGCGCTGGTCCTGGGGAAGTGGTCCCCAGACCTCCAGGGGTCCAGAGTGCGACAACAATCGCGATGTTGGGGGGTTGGGCCCATGTCGGTGGGAGCGGAGGAGGCGTTGGCTTGCGTCACTGGCGAGCTCAAGGCGGGGGCTGGGCCGGTGTCGGCTGGCCTGCGGGGGGCGGGGGAGGTGCTGCATGTTGCAGGAGACAGGGGTCATGACGTGGTGGTGATGGTGCTAAACGTGGCGGTGACGGAGATGGCGACGAGAGGCAGCAGGAGAGAAGAAGCAGCTGGAGGGGGGAGGAGGAGGCAGAGGGAGAGGAGGATGAGGAGGAGAAGGAGGAGGAGGGCGGAAGAGGAGGGGAGGAGGAGGAGGAGGAGGAGGAGGACTGGAGGAGGAACGAACGGCCAGAGCGCGCCAGCTCATCGTGCAGCCCCTCATGAGCGCATGCAGATGTTTCCCGTCACTGCGCCGAACGCCTGCTGGAACGGTGAAGGGTCGCACGGGCATGCCACATGCTCAGGTCTAGGGAGGGCTGGAACAGGCAAACACCGATGGCCTTGGCACAAGTTCGGGTCCAGGGAGGCTTTGCGGGTTCAGGGTTCGTTGCTCTTGCTACAGGCAGTGTTTTCCCGAGAACTGGAGCGACGAGCACATCGTAGCTATTACACTGCGACCCCATCATGTGCCAATGCGCAGTGTGTTTAGGAGGGGCCGCCCTCCATCCTTGTATCCAGTGGGAAGCGTGCGGGATCATCTCAGCGGCGCCATCCTTGCCTGTACATACTGGCTTCTGTGTCAGCGCTGTAGACTTTTAGAGCGGCACCTCTCACGGGTAGCCGCCAACCGCGCGTGTTGCGTTGAGAGAGTTTGACAGGCTGTGACGAAGTGTCAAGCAATGTGCGGTTTTGGACAAGAGCCGCCATCCATCCTTGCAGCTGCTGGGGCATCCCAGCTCCAGGAGCACCAATGCTTATTACATGCTACCAGCCGAGACTGCGAATCTGAAAACGGACGCGAATGCGAAAGCATCATCAGTTTTGACAATGAGGAATCGCACTCCGTCCGTGTGGCCGTTTGGGCCTCTGAGTTCTCTACGCTGCGACGAAATCTTGGAGCAGAGCGGGATTTTGGAGACCGTCCGTTCTCTGTGCGCGCAGTTGTCGGGCATTTCAAATCGGATGTCGGGCTTCACGATCGTGCCCGCCAATCCCGCCTTGCCGACGTGCTCAGTGGTGCGACGGCGATGGGGGCACTATCCGGTCGCGCTGGCGCTCGAATCTGCCGACGCGCTCGGGCGGGCGAACTTTGGAGGGGGGATGCCACGGAACGTCCTAATTGCCAGATTTTTTGTTATTTGGGCACAGCCTTCTGGTTGGATGGCAAGGCCCGCAGGGAATGTGTCAACGAAGTTGATGGCGTGCTGGAACATTGCATCAATAGTGAAAGGCCCCGACGCGTGGATTCCGCACACGCGACGGGGGCTCATCTAGAAAAGACCAAGGGCCCCACACACCAGGTGCCAGCTGCTGCAAGCGCGCGGTGGCGGATTTGTGCTCCAGAATGGGGGGCGGCGCGCAACAGCTGGAAGTTGAGAGCTTCCTTCGCGTCGAGCATCATAATTAAGGGGCGATGTTACCGGGAGGTCAGGAGGACGATGGGAGGATGATGGGAGGAGGAGGAGGAGGAAGAGGAGAAGGAGGAGGGACGAAAGAGGAGGGATAGAGAGGAGTAGGAAGGAGGAAGAGGGAGGAGGAGAGTGCGCAACAGTTCGGTCGTGTCTGTCTGCCTTGGCCAGGCGGGTTGTAATTGCCGCCCGGGCCATCCTCACAATGGCGAGCGGATTCGAACAACGAACAGTGGTGGAGAAAAATTCCGTCCCCACTGGCGCGGACTCAGGGGTCCCCGACTGAAAAAGAGAATGGGTCTGTGGTGATCAGGGCGTGACACGCCCCGTCTGTACATCCGAGCAACAGAAGCCGGCTTCCAGTGCGCTTTGGTCTGCGCGCATCGGCGCTTCAATGCACCGTGGCGCCACCTTGGGGCATCCCCCGCAGCGGCCCACTGCGAAGGCCGCCGAACAGTTGCCAGCTGCTCGCGCAGCACGCCCGAGACAGAACAGGCGAGAAGTGTGGTGCTGGCGATGAGTTTCATGGTGCGCCTGGAGGCTTTCCTGGAGAGTGACCCTCGGAGAAGCGGTCGGACGGAGGGCCTGTTGCAGGTCGTTCCAGGCGCATCGAGGTTTCTGGAATCTGTCCAGCAGAGGGTTACACTGTTCATGGACGGAAAGAAGGGTCAGCGCAAGGTTTGTGGCACGCTGCTGCAGCGCCGTGCTGCTAGCGATGAGAACCGTGTCACATTCTCGCCATGGTTGTTGCCTGGCAGCCATGAGGTGCCGCGCAAGGGCGTGCCTGCGATTCGGTCGCTGCATTGGTGTTCTGCCAGTGTCTGCCCCGTATTTGGGCGGCAGGGCGGTCGCCAGCCCCCGCACCCTGATGGGAGGGGGAAGCGACCTGGTGGCAATGCATTGCCGCGGAAAGGGGGGCCCTGGTGGACAGCCGCCCTTCGAGGCACCGCTCCCGAGTGCCTTCGTTGACTCCGTACTATGCTTTTGTCGTCGGCATTGTGACGGTCATTGGCGTGAACTTCTGATGGAGTAGCGTTGGTTTCCTCATTGCTGTCCTATCAAACGCAGCATCCGCGCCTGGCCACAGGAGAATACAGGCGCGGCAGCGAGCGGGTCCCGCGCACATCCTTCCAGCAGGCGCGCGCACAGGTTGGGAACCAACGCCGAAGGTCTCGGTGGGGATCGCTCGAAGCCAAAGGCTTGTGTGTTCCAGTGTGCGTCCAGCTTCCTGGTCCTTAGCTGCCTCGATACGCTCGTTCGGATACGCAGCACGTGCCGTGCTCAAGACGTGCGTGTCAATACTTTGCGTGTTGGCTCAACGTATTGGCCCACGTCTTGGCGAACGTATCGCGTCAGATCTACGTTCTCAGTCCACGTGTTGAGCTCCGTATGAATACGCTACGTGTTGCGTATTATGTATCTGGGCAGCGAAGTCCTGGCTTCCCTCCTCGATTCTTCCGGTCCTCTTTCTTCTCCTCGGGGGGGGTGCCTGGAGCGGTCCCGGGGGGGTCCTGGGAGGGTTCCGAGGGGGGGTCCTGGGGGCGGTAGCGGCTAGAGGGGGGTCCCTGGGTCCCTGGGACCCCCCGAAACATCTTGGGGATGCGCAAATCAGTAAGAAAACGCCCGATGGGGGACCGCCCCCCCCCTTCCCCCCCCCTTCCCCGGGCATGATATCCCCCATCGTCATGGTGCCCTGCTCCGGGCCCGAACCGACGGACGGGAGAGGCGCCCACGGAGCGTGACCTTTGTGCATGCGAACCTCGGAGGCGGGCCAGGCAGAGACAACATGTTGTTGTGCCGCCCTACCCAAAATCCGCCCAAAGTCGATCCTTGGACCCTGCCAGGGTCCATCCTGACCAGCTCGAGGAGGAGCGCAGCGCCTCTCGCGCGTATCCCGCCGGCCTCGCTGGCTCGCGCCCGACGGACTACGCCGAGGCGCCTTCACGCCACGATGGCGGAGAGGGCAAGGTGGAAGAAAGTGTGGAGGAAGGACGAGTCAAGGAAGATCCCGTCCAGCATGAAGTAGGAGAGCAACATGGAGCCGCAGGCGAAGCCAGTGACGGGCAGGGCGTAGACGTCCTCCTTCGTGTGACCCACAACCCAGACAAGTCACCCACCCAGGTAACGAACATGAGGGAAACAGGCACAAATCAGACACGTGTGAAATGTTGCCACTCGTCGAGCGGAAGGAAGGTCATGTCGACACCTCCCTCCAGCGGGAGGTCCCAGGCACCGAGCGCCCCGAATACCTCCTCGTGGCCGCACGTCCCGACCATGTAGTCGACCTTGTGCACGGTACCGCACAAGCCGACAGGGATTTGGTGGAGACGAGGGCGGCCACGGCGTCGCTTGCCTGGCACTTCTGTCTTCAGATTACCGCTGACTTGGACCCTCATGTCTTCGCGGAGTACCCGGCGCGCGCCGTACTTGCGGTCAGACTCGCCATGGGCGGTTTGGACCGTCTTCGGTTCGTTGTTTTGCCGCAGGCTGTCAATGGCTCCAGGGGTGGACCCAGAAGCGCCAGTCAACGAACCAGCAGCGGTAGCTCCTGAGGCCAGCTCGCGGCGTGCAGCCCCAGATAGAAATCAGCCCTCAAATATGTTCCGGACAACTGGGCGACTTACCACCGCCTGAGTGGCGCCGCGAGCTTCACCATGGGTTCGGCTCACGGCCACCACCCAGCTAGCTTCGCCATGAGCTGTGCAAGCTGGGTGCGGTTTGTCACCTTGCCTTTGACTTTCAGCACTGGCATCGCCTCGACCAGTGAGACTGCACAGAATGCCGTGGACCTCGTCGACCTCCGCGCGATGAGCCTGAGTTCATGTCTGCCCTCACCCCGAGCGGAGGTCGGGTGCTTCCAGCAGCAGTGCCGCCCGACCCCTGCCCCGTGACCCGAGCACCGACGGGGGCACAGGCAGGCGGCCGCGCGGCAGGCCTGATCGGTAAGACCGCCGACTCAGGAGTGGCACTCGGAGTGGACACACCCTTCAAGCCGATCGGTATGGCAGTCGAAGTGGGCTCCAGCTTGGCGGGTACGTCATGGACGCCCGCCCATTCATCCTTCGGTGGCCCAGACGCCACGGGACTATCTTGAGCGAATTGTTTTGGAACGTATTCGTCCTGCTCGCCAGCCGTGGGCCCGAATGCGCCAGTGAACAAACCTGCGGCCCTGGTCTCCGCACCAGCTTGCGCATCTTGGATACTTTCGCTCTGTCCTGGCAAACCTCCCACGCGCCGATCGCGAGGACGAAGAACTGGCTGTATCACTGGATGATTGTCGCTGGCCTTCGACTGGGCATTTCTTCGCCCCTCCTCCGGCTTTGAATCAGAGAGCTCCAAGGGAGGCGCTTGGGACACCTGGGCAACAACAGGAGGAATGACAGAGCCGCCGTCGTCATGCTGAACATCCTTGCCAGCATTATCCGTAGGAGGCTTTGCGTCTCCGTCCCTATGATGTCTACGGTGCTAGCGTCATGGACGCGCACACCTTCTTCCTGACCCACGCCAGCACACCGTGATGAGGAGCCAGCAGAGAAGGGCACGCCACTTGCAGCCTTATCGCAGGGGACAGAGGATCGACGCTCATGGAGCGTCGATGCGTCGTCGTCCACGCGTTCGACCTCTTCCGCGCCCTTGGGCTCAGGCGCCCCTTCGACACGCCGTCGACGACGAGGCGTGGCCCCATGATCAACCGACTGAGCAGGAGATGCGGTATATGGAACGTCAGCTTTCAGACTTATGGCGCCTGCTTGAAGTAGCTGCTGCGCACCGCCACGGAGGTCTCCACGTTGGAGGACAGGTGCACCTGGTGGTAGCACGTCTGGTGGGATATCGGCTACTGGTGGAGGAATCGCTTCACGCGGAGGATCCGCACCTGCGTGTCGAAGATGGGCCCCCGCATCTCGGAGGTGCAGATCCCCGTGGTCGATTCGCGCACCAGCTTGAAGACCCACGACTGGTGGAGGAAGGCCCACTCGCGGAAGATCCTCGTGGTCGATCAGCGTCACGCGGATGCTGATCGCGAGGGGGAGGAGCTCCATGTTCACGGTCGGCCTCCAGCACCTGGCGCGGGGCGCGGGCCAGGCGGGGGAGTTCCTGGCCCCTCTGCGCCTACACCTCCTCGAAGGCTCGCAGGAGGTGCCGGGTGGCCCGCCCCTGCGCCCGCACCGCCTGGGGGCGGCGTGCGGCGGCAGGCCGATTGGGGCGGCGGGCGCCATCCTCCCGGGTCGGCAGCCCCTCCATCCTGCGGGCGGCGAGGGGAGAAGAGGGGGCCGGAGAAAGCGAGGAGGGGAGGGCGCGGGCGGGGCAGGGGGACCCCTAGCGCGTGCTCGCGCGGCCCCGAAAGGCCATGGACCGAGTTGGCGCTCCAGTTCAAGGAGGAGGAGGAGGAGGAGGAGGAGGAGGAGGAGGAGGAGGAGGAGGAGGAGGAGGAGGAGGTGGAGGAGGAGGAGGAGGAGGAGGAGGAGGGGAGGAGGAGGAGGCGGAGCAGGCGGAGGAGGCGGAGGAGGAGGAGGAGGAGGAGGAAGGAGGAAGGGAGGAAGGGAGGAAGGGAGGAAGGGGAGGGGGAGGAAGGGAGGAAGGGAGGAAGGGAGGAAGGGAGGAAGGGAGGAAGGGAGGAAGGGAGGGAGGAGGAGGAAGGGAGGAAGGGAGGAAGGGAGGAAGGGAGGGAAGGGAAGGGAGGAAGGGAGGAAGGGAGGAAGGGGAGGGAGAAGGGAGGAAGGGAGGAAGGGAGGAAGGGAGGAAGGGAGGAAGGGAGGAAGGGAGGAAGGGAGGAAGGAGGAAGGGAGGAGGAGGAAGGGAGGGAAGGGAGGGGAAGGAGGAAGGGAGGAAGGGAGGGGGAGGGAGGGGGAGGGAGGGAGGGAGGGAGGGAGGGAGGAGGAGGAGGACTGGAGGGGCGGCACGAAGAACTCGGGGATGCAGTCAAGGCGCACGCGCTCGGGAATTCCGGGCGGAGACGGCCGGCAGCGCCCACGAGAGCCGTGGGGTGTTTTTGGTGTGGGTGCGAAGACGGGTCATGAAGAGGAGGGTGAGGAGCAGTCATGAAACTCGTTGGAGGCCGTGGCGCGCGACAGTTCTCGACTCCATCATGTGCCTCCGGGTGGAGGTCTGAATTTTCAGTGGGCCCACTTCGCATCATGCTGGAACTGTCTTGCGAGTTCCTGCCCCCAATCGCATCGCACATCGAGATGTCGGCTGTTTCGTTGATCGGATTGGGAAGAGAGGAAGGAGGAGGAGGAGGAGGAGGAGGAGGAGGAGGAGGAGGAGAAGACGGAGGACGAAGTTCAGGAAGGAAAGTACGGGAGGCTGTGACGCGGGACACCTCTCGCTCCGAGGAAGTAGGAGATGAAGACTAATACGATGACGGGGAGAAGGACGAAGAGGAAAATGGAGGGATGAGGAGGAAGGGGGGGAACACGAGGTGCAGAAGGATGAGCAACATGTTTACTCCACGTCCGTAACGGGCCATTATTCTCGTCCTCCTTCATTACCTTCGTTATCTTGGTTGGCGGTTGGCGGTGATGGGGAAGGAGCAGAAAGAAGGACATCCGTAACACATGGCACTTGTTTTGTCCAGGGACGGAGAAGGATGAGGGGGAAGGAGGACGATGACGAGGAGGATGAACAGGAGGGAGAGGGTGAAGAGAAGGAGAGGCAGGAATAAAGAGGAGGAGGAGGAGGAGGAGGAGGAGAAGGAGAAGGATGAACGAAGGGAAGCAAACGGAAGGTGAGGATGAGGATGAAAGAATGGAGGCAGAACGTGTTGCACCTCTGGTTTCCAGGAGTTGGGAGAGGAGGGCGACGACGATGTGGACGAGGAGGATGAACGGTGAAGAGGCGGACGAGGAGCGAGAGGAGCGCGAGGAGGAGAAGGAAGGATGACGGGAATGAGAGAGGGAGAGACGAGGAGAAGGATGACGGGGGCGAACGGAGGCCGTAACATGTGACACCTCTCCGTCTCCACTTCTTTGGGATCGTTGCTTTGAGGATGACGGAGAATAAACAAAATCAGAGCGGGGCGGAAACATAAGGAATGGAGGATGCTGTAACATGCCACACCTCTCGTTCCATTTCCTCAGGCGCCCATTGCGGCCGTCTTAGGGGCTTCCCTGAAACCCAGTTGGGCCGTCTTGGGAGTCCTCTTGGGTCGCCTTCGTACCGTCGATGGGGCTTTCTACGGAAGTCTTGGGCCTCGCCTGAGGCCCTCTTGGGGCTCTCTTGAGACCCTATTCGGCCGTCTTGCAGCCCTCTTGGGCCGTCAATGTGCCGTCTTGGGCTGGGTGGGGCCTCATAAGGATGAGAAGGATGACGATTATGAATACTTGACGTAAGGGAAACCGTAACATGTGGCAAATCTCGTTTCCTAAAGGTGGAAGAGAAGGATGACGACGACGAGGAGAAGGAGGATGAGGAGGAAGAGACAGGGGGAAGGGGAGGAGACGATGGATGAGCACGAGATGAGGAAGCAATACAACGGATGCGGTAGCAAATGACACCTCTCGTCCGCACTTCTTCAGGAGCGGGAGAAGGAACAGGAACACAGAGAGAGAGAGTGGGAGGGGGATGACAGTGAAGGGGAAGACGAGCAGGAGGAGGGCGAGGGTCACGAAGATAGGGTGCGGATGATGAGGGCAAAGAGGAGAGGGAGGAGGAGCAGAGGGAGGAGGAGGAGCAGAGGGAGGAGGAGGAGGAGGATCAGGAGGAGGATCAGGAGGAGGAGGAGGAGGAGCAGGAGGAGGAGGAGGACAGGGACGAGGAGGATCAGCAGCAGCAGCAGCAGCAGCAGTAGCAGCAGCAGTAGCAGCAGCAGTAGGAGGGACACGAGCACACGGGCTGTAACGGGCAGTGGCTGCGAGCGGGGCAGGAGCCCGGCCAGCGGCTGCTGCAGAGCCTCGGGCTGGCGGCCCCGGCCACCGACGAGTGCCGCTCGCCGCCCGCCGAGGAGGGGGCCCGACGGGGAGGGTCGGCGACTACTTGAAGGCCAGTATCGTTTAACCGACCCCCTGCATCCCCATCCCCATCCCCATCCAGGCCCCCACCATCTCAGCGCCCCAGTTGGGGATATACCCCTCGAAGCCCGAAGGAACCCGTATCCCCATCTGGGGGGGTGAAATCGGCCAGTGGGGCGCAGGCCACGTTAATGGGGACAGGTGTTGGTTAAACGATGCTCAGATGAGTGGGCTTGTCGAGGAGGATCGGCGACTACCAAGGGCCGTCACGCTGGGGTGTGGCTGGCGATCTGTGTCGTTGGGGCTCGGGGGCACCACGTTGCCCTCGTCGGGCCTTCTCGGGGCGCGTCGGCGAACTCTGTCGACGTCCTCGCCTACCTCCCCAGGGTGTGGGTTGCAAACCGCGCCTTCTGCAAACCGCACCCTTCGGCCGCGGCGGTCTCAGGCAGGAGGAAGGCCCGTTGTGAAGCAGACGGGTCCTGCGGGATTCGGAGTTGGATCCTGGGTTTCTTCCTCCGTTCTTCGGCCCCCGTGGCCCTCCCCAGGGCATGGGACCGTCGAGGAGTGGCTCGGGGAAAGGACCTGGTCCTGTGGGGAGGCCCCGGGTCCAGGACCGCCGGGTCCCTCCACCGGTCTTCCCTGGGAAGACTGGTGGAGGGTGGGACGGGGAGGGGAAGGAGGGCAAGTCGAAGGATGAGAATGATGGTGATGGTCTTGAGGAGGAGGAGGAGGAGGAGAAAGAGGAGGAGGACGAGGACGAGGAGGAGGAGGAGGAGCAGCAGGAGGAGGAGGAGGAGACGACGAGGAGTAGGAGGGGAAGAAGGATGAGGATGAGGATGAGTAGGAGAAGGAGGAGGAGGAGGAGGAACGACGGCGAGGACGAGGAGGAGCATGAGGAGAGGCGTCCGGCCCAGTGGCGGCACGGGCAACCCGGGTGCTGCCAGAAGGTCGCTCGCTGGACAGCCCGTTGCTGCCAGCAGGTGGCTACGGTCGTTTTCTCCAGCGCCTCTGGTACGGTAGGTTTGCGTCATGTCGACCAGCGGCGACCCCAGCGCGGGCGTTCAAGGTTGAACGCCGCCGGCGACCCAGAATCGATCGATGTTGAACGATCGGACGTTGCGGCAGCGGCCGATCGTTCAAGGTTGAACGACCCCTGCGGTGTCAAAAACCAACGCTGGGGTCGGCACGACACGAACCTGCCGTACCATTGTCTTCCCTTCTGCCCAACTCGGCTCCGATGCATCCCTCGGCTGTATCTACCGCTCCTTGGACCTAGGGTGCCGCCGACAGAGAATTTGCACCGTCGAGGCGCCGCACGGCTCGGCATCTGCCCCGCCAGATGCCAAAGTCTCGGACCTGGGCGCAGTGCGCTCAGCCACTGCGGGGAGGGCTGCTGCGGGGGCACAGCTGCGATCCTGGTGCCGCGGGCCGCGACTGTGTGTCGTTTCTGGCAAGGTCCTGACAGCATCGAGTCTCATACATAGCACTCCGCAGTTGCGGATAAGAGTGACTGGGCGGATGGGGGATGGATCGCGGGTGGGTCACGGGTGGGTCGCGGGGTGGGTCGCGGGTGGGTCGCGGGCGGGTCGTGGGGTGGGTCGCGGGTGGGTCGCGGGGCGGGTCGCGGGCGAGGACGGCGACAACAACAACATCAGCGCAACAACGCAACAACAATCCGCACCGCCGAACCTCAGTTCAGCTACGCGCGCAGGAACAGTGAATGACCGCTCGGCCCCCTCGCTCTGATTATCCCGCCGCGTGCGAGAGGGTTCGCTGACCGACTTTCCTCAGTCGACCGTCTCTCCCGAAATTCGAACCGTCGGCGAGTGCATCTGGTCTTTTCGTTTCAGAAAACTGGACCGGCGATTGCGCCTTTGCCAGCAAAACCATCTAAACTTGAATTCGTGTGTCTTAGTGGGGGCGGCCCAAACATATTGACACGTTTGTTTCGACTGCACGGGGGTTTGCGAGAACTTGTATTGGATCCTGGACAGTCCGTTGAGGTAGACGCAGGTATGTGCTCGCGCTTGGTCCGTTTCAAACAAACTATGTTCACATCTAACATGTTTTGCCATCACGGAGTGCGTCCTTGAAGGGAGGAGTTGTACGACAACAAGTTGTAGGCGTAGTAGTCGTAGTGCTCGTAATCGTCGTCGTCGTAGTTGTAGCCGGGGTCGTAGTATTAGCAAGTGTGGTAGTGGTATTGGTCGTAGTAGCCGTAGTAGTAGTAGTAGTAGCAGCAGCAGCAGCAGCAGTAGTAGTAGTAGTAGTAGTAGTAGTAGTGATAGTCGTAGTAGTGATAGTAGTAGTAGTAGTAGTAGTAGTAGTAGTAGTAGTAGTAGTAGTAGTAGTAGTACTCTTACTACTACTACGACTACGACTACTACTACTACTACTACTACTACTACTACTACTACTAATAATAATACGACGACGACGACTACTACTACTTCTACTACTACTACTCCTACTACTACGACTACTACTACTACTACTACTACTACTACTACTACTAGCTGTAGTAGTATTAGTAGTAGTAGTAGTAGTAGTAGTTAGTAGTAGTAGTAGTAGTAGTAGTAGTAGTCGTAGTCGTAGTCGTAGTAGTAGGTAGTAGTAGTAGTAGTCGTCGTCGCCGCAGTAGTCGTAGTAGTAGTAGTAGTAGTAGTAGCAGCAGTAGTAGTAATACTAGTACTATTACTACCACTAGTACTAGTACTAGTAGTGGTAGTAGTAGTAGTAGTAGTAGTCGTAGTCGTCGTAGTCGTAGTAGTCGTAGTCGTAGTCGTAGTAGTAGTAGTAGTAGTAGTAGTAGTAGTAGTAGTAGTAGTAGTAGTAGTAGTCGTAGTAGTAGTCGTAGTAGTAGTAGTAGTAGTAGTAGTAGTAGTAGTAGTTCTACCACTACTACGGCTACTGCTACTACGACGACGACGACGACTACTACTACTACTACTACTACTACAAGTTCTAGCACTACTACTTCTACTACTACTACTACTACTACTACTAACTACTACTACTACTACTACTACTACTGTTACTGTAGTGGCAGCAGTAGCTCTAGTAGCACTAGGGGTAGTAGTAGTAGTAGTAGTAGTAGTAGTAGTCGTAGTAGTAGTCGTAGTAGTAGTAGTAGTAGTAGTAGTAGTCGTCGTCGTAGTAGCCGTAGTAGTAGTAGTAGTAGTAGTAGTAGTAGTAGTAGTAGTTGTTGTAGCAGTAGTAGTAGTAGTAGTCGTCGTAGTCGTAGTCGTAGTCGTAGTCTTAGTCGTAGTCGTAATCGTAGTCGTAGTCGCAGTCGTAGTCGTAGTAGTAGTAGTAGTAGTAGTTGTTGTTGTTGTTGTAGTCGTAGTCGTAGTCGTTGCAGTAGTCGTAGTAGCAGTAGTAGTAGTAGTAGTAGTACTAGTACTAGTAGTAGTAGTAGTAGTAGTAGTAGTAGTAGCAGGTAGTAGGTAGTAGGTAGTAGGTAGTAGGTAGTAGGTAGTAGGTAGTAGTAGTAGTAGTAGAAGTAGAAGAAGTAGTAGTAGTAGTAGTAGTAGTAGTAGTAGTAGTAGGGCCACCCTTTTTGTACGGCCGGAAGCGTCCCGCCCATTTATGGCCGGTAGGTGTGTAAGGCCAGCAATATTGGTATATGAAAACCAAATACACATTACGAGTTCGGCACACTTGGTTTGTGATTGGATACACATGCGCCAAACGATGTTCAAGGATTCCCGAGGAATCCAAGGGAAACCCGAAGGAATCCGCAGCGCCATTGAGGAATCCACAAGACTCCCAAGAATCCGTTGAATCTTGAACATTCCCTAAGCAGACTTCTCGGAGCTTCCGAGGGGCCTTTGAACATTTATGATGGCATCCGAGAGGTTTCTGAACGGGTCCGAGCGGTTTATGAGGGCTGCCGCAAGGCCACTGAGAGTTTCCGAGAAGCCTCTGCGAGCATCCGAGAGGTTTTGAGAATTCTTGGAGGGGGTTCTCAAAGTGCCCGACAGGGTGTTGAGACCCCGACAAGCCTCTGAGAGCATCCCAACAGTCTCTACACATTACCGAGAGGCCTTGAGAGCTGTCGAGAGGGCTTGAAAGCTCCCGTAGAGGCTCTGGGGACTCCGAAGAGCGCCGCGAGGAACGGCCTGAGCGGCGCCAGAAATATGACCCCCCAAAGGACACACAACGCACACAACGCGCACAGCACACACAACACACACACCGCATAACGCACACACGACACGCACAACACACAACACGCACACAACACACTACACACAACACACAACACACAGCACACAACACACCGCACACAGCACACCCAACGCCACACACCACACACAACGCACACAGCACACACAACACACCACACACCACAAACGCAACACACAACACCACACACAAGACACGCAACGCGCACACAAGCACACACAACGCACACAACACACAACGCACACAACACACGCACAACGCGCACAACACACAGCGCACGTAACACACACACACACGCAATACACAACCCACAACAAACAACACACAGCGCACAACGCGCAACACACAGCACACACAACACACACACACACACGCCGAACAACACAAACAACACACACACAACACACAACATACACCGCACACAACACACAACGCACACAACACAACACACAACACACACAGCACACACACAACACACACCTCACACAACACACAACACACATTACACAACACGCCCAACACAACACACCACACACAACACACACTACTACACACATCGCACAACACACAACGCACCAGACACGACACACCACGCACAACGCACCAAAGGCCAGCAGGGCTTCGCCGTGTTCAGCAGAGCTTAGCCGAGTTTAGCGGAGCGAAGCATGGCTTACCAGAGCTTGCGCGGCCCAGCAGAGCCCAGCGGGGCGCTGCAGGGCTTCGCAGAGCCCAGCAGGGCGTGGGAGGGCTTACCAGGGCTTACTAGCGCTTATAGCAGGGCTTACCAGAGCTCAGCAGGTGCCAG